CCAGACACTCCTGTGGGCCCCCCGGGCCTCAGCCCCCTCCTTGGCCATGCAGCGGGCACGGGAGCCACTCCTGATGCCAGGCAGCACTACACACCCCTGCCAACTCTTAAGTGCGTGGGCCCAGGAGAGGGGCATCAGCCATCTGACGGCCTAGGACCCAGGCCGGAGGCCAGCCTTGCCCTGACCACTGACCACTGTCGCTCTCCAGTGACGACTTTGTGACCTCCTTCTTCATGGGCTTCAGCAATGACAGCCAGACCTGGGTGATGTACACCAACGGCTACGAGGAAATGGTGGGTACTTGAGCCCTCAGCTCGCTCCCAGCACTTGAGCCTCAGGTGGGCCCTGGCCCAGCATGGGGTGTTGCTCTGAGGCCCGCCTCTCCTCAGACCTTCCATGGGAATGTGGACAAGGACACGCCCGTTCTGAGCGAGCTCCCGGAGCCAGTGGTAGCCCGTTTCATCCGTGTGTACCCCCTCACCTGGAATGGCAGCCTGTGCATGCGCCTAGAGGTGCTGGGCTGCCCCGTGTCCCGTGAGTGCTGGCAGGGGCGGGGGCTTGGAGGGGCGGCTAGGGGACTGGGGCTGGGCTGGCAGCTGACCAGCTCAGGGCCCTGCCTGTCCACCCTCTACAGCTGTCTACAGCTACTATGCACAGAATGAGGTGGTCACCACCGATGACCTGGACTTCCGGCACCACAGCTACAAGGACATGCGCCAGGTGGGTGCTTGTGCCAGGGCAGGGGGTCCTGTCCGGAGCTCAGGTTCCTGGCTCGCAGGGTCTTGTGTGGGAGCTCCATTCTGCTCCCCTCCCCACACGGCCCCCGAGGGAGGTGGGCTGGCCCTCACTTCGGAAGGAGGAACCCTCCACCCCACACTAGCATCGAGGGCCAGGCTCCCCTGCAGGGGCCATGCCTATCATGAGGCCTTCTCAGGGAGCAGACGGGCCATGCGGGGCCATGGTCCCTGGGGAGTGGGTGCTGGGCTGTGTGACGGGGTCCTCTCCCATGCCCAGCTGATGAAGGTGGTGAATGAGGAGTGCCCCACAATCACCCGTACATACAGCCTGGGGAAAAGCTCACGCGGGCTCAAGATCTATGCCATGGAGATCTCCGACAACCCTGGGGACCATGAGCTGGGTGAGGCCTCCATAGCCCCTGAGGCCAGGCCCTGGCACTCAGCTCACCTCTGCCTGCCCTCGGAACCCCGCTTGCCGGCCCTCGGAACCCCGCTTGCCGGCCCTACCAGCCTCAGGTGCCCAGCCCTCGGAGTGAGGCCGGCTTGGTTCCTTCTCAGCTGCCCTCGCCCCGCTCGGTAGGCTGAGTGGTTGCTGAGGTCCTGCCCTTGCAGGGGAGCCGGAGTTCCGCTACACAGCCGGCATCCACGGCAACGAGGTCCTAGGCCGCGAGCTGCTGCTGTTGCTCATGCAGTACCTGTGCCGCGAGTACCGCGACGGGAACCCCCGCGTGCGCAACCTGGTCCACGACACACGCATCCACCTGGTGCCCTCGCTGAACCCCGATGGCTATGAGGTGGCAGCGCAGATGGTGGGTGCAGGGGAGAGGGATTCAGGTGGTGACCTGTGCAGGGGGCAGGCAGGGGATGGGGGCTGGGGGCAGGCTG